ACCCATCCAAGTACTGACCGCGCCCGACGTTGCTTAACTTCGGTGATCGGACGAGAACCGGTGTATTCAACGTGGTATGGACGTTGGCGATTTATAAAGAAAATTTAAGAAACACATTTCAATTTTAAAAGATACAATTTCATTCAAAATTATAAATTACTAGCTTTCGCCCACGACTCCGACTACGTGAATTAAAAAAACACAAAAGTGTTCTTCCAGACTATCGAATACCTTTAGCAGTTTAGGGCTACAGACTCTAACAAACATCCATCCAAGTTTTCGTATTTATAATATAGTATCATAACTAATTGACTATTTATATAATTAAGTAACTACGATTTCTATAAAATCAACAAACTATAAATTTAAACATAGACATAGTTCCAGCTTTTGCTAATAGATGGCGTTTATTAAGGTGAATTAATGCAAACTGAACCATTCATGAGATATCGTCTGTAACAACTAGATGGCGCTATTTAATGTTTTTGAAACATCTAAAAAATGATTAATGAAGACGCATTTAGGACTGTATTTATTTAATCATTTTATATACTAAAGTGATTTATAGTAAATTGAATTATTATTCAATAATTTTATTTAATGTTCTCATATGAAAAGTAATCCAATAAATAATTTCAAAGTTTTCAACGTAGGTTCCGTGGTGTAGTGGTTATCACATCTGCTTTACACGCAGAAGGCCGCCAGTTCGATCCTGGCCGGAATCATATTTTTTTTCTTGCTTTTTGTGTATATTTTTTTACAATTCTTAGGAAAAATGACCTTTATTATGTGTTACTTCTTGTAGCTTATTTATAAACAATACTTTAATAGCTCAATTAGGTTCACAAGGTTTAAATAAAATTCTTTTATAAAGAATAATTTCTTTCACACAAATTCACATGGAATTATAAATTAGTTGCGTCGTCCGTCGCAACCGCGCCCTTACTATCTATTGACCTTGTAATTTTAAACTTTTGGTGCCGTCTCCTATCGAAGGTTGACAATCATTGCAACTTGTAGTTTGGCAGGTTTAAACGCGTACTTTTGTACCTTTGGCGATTGTTACGATTTTGTCTATATCTTCGAACTGCAGGTACCTTTCTTTACGAACCACAGCCAAGAAATACAGTACAAGGGCGGATGCGGCTTTGGCGCCAGGAGGGGGTTCAAATAGTCGTAATCAAGTCAATAGCTTGACAAAATATGTAAATATATTTTACCAATCATCTCAGGGGAAGATCATGACCCCAAGTTCTGCCGTTGGTCCAATACTTTACAATAACAAACATCCAAACATTCGCTTTTTATAATATTAGTAAGGTTTTCGATTAATTTGTAAGAATATCTGTAGATAATAAAATTGATTAAATAGAGTAACAGTGAATTTGGGTTCAAATTAGAATTTTTTTTAAAGGCAAAAAGACCAATAACTTGGTGCCAAATTTCGATACTGCTATCACGGGGTTCCGTGGTGTAGTGGTTATCACATCTGCTTTACACGCAGAAGGCCGCCAGTTCGATCCTGGCCGGAATCATAACTTTTTGTTAAAAAAATCCTTCAAGTGTGAAAATGTAACTAAAAATTAAAAGTGACTTGTAGATATGTTTAATTAGTTTTTTTTATATTATAATTTTTTCCTTTCACTAGGAAAATGTTTTTTTAAACTGAAAGCAAATTAAAAGTGACAACACGAGATACATTTATTTTAGTTTTTTATTGAATGTTCATATTACTCCTTTATTCGTTTATTTATAACTTTTTTCATCATAAGCTAGTAAAGGAAATGGCGAAGCGACTGCTGCCTGCATGGCAGATTTATTTTTGTTTCAAGTATTTTTCAATTTAGCTATTATTAACTAGCTTCCGCTCGTTACTCCGTCCGTGTGGTATTAATAAAAACAAAAGAAAGTAGCCTATGTGATCTTCCAGACTATCCTCTACATCTATGCCAAATTTCATCGAAATCCGTTCAGCAGTTAAGGCTACAAACTCTAGCAAACATCCTTCTAAACTTTCACATTTATAATATTAGTATAGTATGAAGTGGTAATTTTGAATTAACGCAGAAATGAGAATGTCAAGATGGATGTAACACGAATGGATAAGATACGAAATGAGTATA